CTTTTCTTGCTCAGTAGTACATCTGCTGCACCTTCCTAGTCCTTATGATGACTCTGCTACATTTATTTCACTGAGCAAAATACAGGTATAATTGCACAGAAATTTAAAAATCCATCAAACACACCTGTACAATAAGTGCTCTTTTTATCCTCAGTTGAGGAAACTAAACTAAACATAGGTAGGTTAAATAACTTGCCCAAGATTGCACAGGCAGCCAAATTCAGGCAAGCTGGCAGGTGTGGGAATAGCCATGTAGTACGTAGGTCAGTGTCTGACCTAGAACACACACTATGGGTGTGTGTTGTGGTGTGTATGTGTGTGTGTGTGTGTGTGTGTGTGTGTGTATGTGTGTGTATGACCTATATATATTAGCTCATTTATGTGTGTGTATGACCTATATATATTAGCTCATTTAATCCTCACCACGATCCTACTAAGGTGAGGTGTTTGTTTGTTTGGCTGACTCAGCCCACTCGGGGGGCGGGGCTGGCATGACATGTACTGCCGAGGACTGAACAGCGGTCCCTGCACTTTGCCTAAGCTTGCCTAAGCAGGCACTTTTAGACTGCTGAGCTATCTTGCCAGCCCTAAGGTGAGTATTTTTAAAAGGCCTCCAAGAAAGGTAATGGCCTGCTGAAGGTTATTTAGGTAAGATGCATTTATTCAGTTAGTACTGCAGCTCCAGCAGCTTGTGACCCCAGAGCTCATATGCTTGTCCCCGGGGCTGAAAGGATGCTGGATCTCTCTGCTGTGCCCACATCTGGATCTTCTCCTGAGCCCTACAGAAGGGCAACTCCATGACCAAGCTGCCTAGTTAGGAGCTGTGCTGTGTGGGCACTGGCACAGGCTGTATCCCATCATATTTACTCTGCACCGGGGCAGCTCTGCCCCATGTCACCATCAAAGCCACAAGTCACTCCCACACACACTATGACTGGGCCCTGGGAACTGTAGGCCACCCAAAAAGCAGCCCACTCTCCAGTCCCTGCTTTCTAAACTCCACTTCTTGGTCAACCTGATTGGCCACAAATCTATGCACTTGGCCTACCTGAGTCTTCGATTTCTAATAAAAGCCTTTACCCATTGAACATGAAATTAATCTTTAGTATTTCAATATAAGAATTCCAAGAAAGACCTCATGATATTCCTAAATTATTATGAACTATCTATTTAAAAGATTATAAGCTGGGGAGATAGCTTGGTGGTCTAAGTACCTGCCTGGGAAGCACAAGGACCCGGGTTTGATCCCTGGCACCACATGCCATGCTGGCCCCAGAACCCCAGGCACGCTGTGATGGCTACTGAAACTTGTTGCAGTGGCGCACGCCTGTAATCCCAACACTGGGGAGGCTGACACAGGAGGATCACTATGAGGCAGAGCTGCATAGTGAAACCGTGTACCAAAGAAATAAATGAAAGATCTAAAGAAATAAAATAAAAGATTATATTCTTTGATGTCCACTAAATCAGTGCCCGCATGACATATTCTTCCTGAGATACTGATGCCAAGAAAGAAACACATTCCTTATGCTACATCAGTGAGCTCTCTTTCATCAGACAGCAAAAGCCCACAACCTGCACTTTCCTCTTTACACTAGCTGCTCAGGAACACACGGGAAACATCACTGGCCGAGTGTAACCGGCCCTCACTGGCCACCCTACATTTCTAAATCTCTCCATCACAAGCTTAGACCCCCTTGAACAGCAGCAGGATGCCTCCGTGTACACTGCAGTCAGCACCCTGTGTCTGGGGCTCCCACATCCTCAGGGTCAACCAATTATGGGCCCAAAACATTCAGAGAAAAACTGACTCTACTAAACACATACAGAACTTTTTCTTGTCATTCTTCCCTAAGCAATGTAGTATAACAACTATTTCCATAATATTTTCATTTTT